TAAAAAAATTAATCTCCAGGCCACTGGAGGCTTGCTCATATGAGCCTGTGGCAGTGGTGGCATTGAACATGGGACCCATGTCAACTCAATTAAACAAGGGCCCAAAGGGGAAGTAAGAAACATGTGACAGGGCAGCACTAGATTGAGAACTCTTTGAGACTGGTTGATGCTGTGTAATGGAGAGTATGACTTAAATATGATCATTGAATGGGCTGACTAGACTCCAGTGGATGCATTTACACTGAAGGACATTTGGGTAAAAACACCTGAATGAATAGGACTTAGCATGTATGGCAGAGTGCATGGGTTTGGTGGAGGGATTGGAGAGGCATAGATGAGGGAAGGGGTCTGAATTTGATTGGGAAATGGTGTATGAAATTTTAAAAGCTCAATAAAAATTTTAAAAAAGAAAATTAATTAAGTAATTATTTTTTAAAACCTTCAAGATGCTAAACCCAGGCTTTAAACAGACGTGGAAGGAACTTCTGAGCATGGATTCCTGTGACAGTCCTTATTCACAGGTCCATAATGGTGATACACAGACTGGACTCACAATTTCCTCTCCTGACACAGCAGTGCACTGTGAAAAAAGCTGAGAGAAGTTACTCAAATTCAGAGAGAGGGCAAGGGAAAGTAGCACATCCTAGAGGATTAGTGCTGCTATGGGAAAGAGCATTCCACTGGCCAAACATAACCTGGGGGAAAAGGGGGCTCAGTGGGTCATCTCCTTGACAAAACAGTTCTCCAAGAGAGTAAGAAGCAGATCTCAGGCTAAATGAAGCCATACCATATCACTGCAGAGATGAAAAGAGGTCAAACCAAAAACCAAATGTGTAATAGAGCTTCTGCGACAGTAAATCACTAACCACAGAGAAAAAAAAAAAAGAGAAATGGGGTTCAGCAGTTTATCACCCCAAAGCAGCTCCCACAATTGAACTACTCAGTGCGGGACATTCCTGCCTTAAGCAGGATTAGATTTAAAAGTCTATTACAAGGGAAAATAGTGCACAGTTAAAATTATTTCTGAAAATGCCTTAAATTGTACGTGTGCTTTATAGTCTTACAATCTCTAAGTAAATCTAACAGGTGAGTTCTTTCCTTCTATGGAGATTAAAACAGATCATTGCTCCCATAGCTGAATACATAGCAACCCAGCTGGTTAAAGTAGGATGCAAGATGCACTTAAAAGCGGACAAAGAAACAGGTCTAACCATATGGTGGCCAAGCCATGGAGAAGAACCAGAATGAACACCTCTCCTTCTGAACTCACCTTCAAACACATGCAGTACAGTCACATGCTCACTATTTAGGACTTCCTCTGTTTATTGTTTTTCCTTTGTTTCATTAATTTAAGATAAATTCTAGGTCTAGCCACAACTCTTTCTGTTCATGAATGAAAAAAAGGATAAAAAATAAAATTTACATGGATCTGTGAGTTTTCAAGTTTACAACTTACCGTTTACCATTTGGGGTCACTCCTCTCAGACCCAGTTTACTCTTTCAACATATGGATTGATATCTTTAAAATTCAGAAATTCTTCTGAAGTAAACAGTTTGTTATTTTGTCCAATTGTTTTGATCTTCTTTCTTAAAAACTCGAATCACATATTTTTTTCTATCAGTAAATTTATATATGTCTTATTTAACGAAGTCTAGCTTTCCAAAACACAGTTAAAAAAATATTTCTCAATGTCCATAAACGCACAGCTTTATTTTTGACCTACCAAATACCTTGCATTGTAATCATGTAAATATACTTTCTGCTAGTGCTTATCATGTGCTATTTGTTCTCTCGGTTATTCCAATAAAGAACAAATTTTTATAACGAAAAAAAAAGTTTGTTTTAAAAGTTATGAAGGAGCACAATATTTTCCTTGACCTGTTAAATTTTGCTTCCAGGTGACTAAAATTGTGGATCATATTTATAAGCATCTATCTAAAAGCTCTTCCCACATCGTGAAGAGTACCCTGTTACGGGTTATCACCTTATTGGCCCGAGCTTCACCCAGGACGGTTATTCATCTGCTCTTGGAGTTCCCATTTCCAGCAGACGAGTAAGGCTTCCCCTTTCCTTCCCCGTCCTCACACGTTTGTTCACAGCTCCACAGTCGATGGTCATGCATTCAAGTCTTGTCAGGACTCATTTCTTTTTCTTTCCTGAAAATAAATATATTTTTGAATCTTATAAGATGGATGGAAGGTTTAGAAAAGACCATAGTTTAATTGATATGTGACTTTGTACAATGCCCAGCGCATGGTAGGTCCTCAAGAATTGAGCAGTGTCATCTCATCATTACTTATCTGAGGTTTCAAATTGTGTTCCATTGCAAATCTTATAGAAACAAACTTTCTGCAAAGAGATAATGAACTTTTTTACTCATTGTAAATTTAGTCCGTTTTTCTTGAGAAGACCAACCTCAAACATAAGAGTATTTTTCTTGTTTATAAAGTATAGACATAAGTTATTTCTACCCATCAACAAACTAAAGAACCGCTTGAAAATTACCACATATAGGAGCTAGAGAGATAACTTAGTGGTTAAGAGCACTTGTTACTCTTGCAGAGGAGTGGAGTCTGATTCTTAACACCCACATCAGGCAGCCCACAACCACTTGTAACTCCAACTCCAGAGAATCCAACCCCTTTTGGCCTCCATGGGCACCTGCATGTACATGTGCATACACACATGGCAGACACACAAATGAACATAAATATCAAATATAATTTGCATAGTCTCCTATCCCTTAACTGTTCATCTGAAATCCATGAACCAGGACCACAAGAAATACTTAAGAATAACAACTCCTAATTTGAGCCTATGAGCCAATACAACTCTAACAGGGGCATTAAAGAAGCTTAGGATAAAATCGCATAACTCTTTCTACAGTTCATAATTTGAGGAGGAAGATGTTACTTCTGACAGTGCAATAGATAAAAAACCACATTATGCGAAGGACTCTGACTTTGAAAACAAATCTGGAATCCACCCTCACCTTGGCCCTAACATTCTGTATGCACAAGGTTAACATGACTCTCTGATGCTAAATTCCTAGACTGTAAAGTTAGTAAAGTCCATTTTTCTCTGTAGAACTGTTACATGGGTTGTGTGGATGTGATAGGGAATCAAAGTCAAAGTTCTAAACAACTCATGCAACTTCCTTTTTCTAACCAAAAGATTATTTATTTAGGAAACTTAAATTGAAAAAATACTCCACTAGTTATCAAATTTCTAGAAAGATCTTCATGAGATTCAATGTTTTATGTCGCAAATGGAGCACCCATATGACTAAAGTGTTTCCAGCCACCCCCCCCCACTTTTTTTTAAAGAAAGACCATATCCCACATGGACATAAGACAATGTTGCCAGGAATCCATTGCAAATGAGATGATATAGGAAGGCTTAGTTAGAGGTAGAGAAACTTCAAGAAATTGCCACAGCTCTTACACAATTATAGGTGAGGCCTGGAAAGAAAAGGCCAGCATTGGGAGTTAAGAAAAACACACAGAGGATCTGATTACCCAGAAGGTGTGAACAAAAGATTAAAAATAAAGGACACAGGGCAGAGTAGATTTGATGTATGTGTGAGCCTCACAGGCAGGAGTCATGGGCAGCAGATCCAACAGAGCTAGAAGCATACTTGTTCTGAGGAACTAGGCCCCCGTGTTTGGAAGCTAAATGCAGAAAGACTGAGAAACAGACTGGAGAACCCATCACGGATGGACATTTCAGGAATAAATTGGCACAGATGTACAACAGTTGTTGAGATGGACAATACCAAAAATATACATGAAGATTGGCTATGTGTGTAGAGAAAGGAGATAAGTGAAGAAATTGGTGTTTGAGCTGTGGAGGTGGCTCGGTGGGTGAAAGTGTTTGCTGCAGAAATATGAGGGCCTGAGTTCAGATCCCCAACACCCATATAAAAAGCTATGTGGCTGCCTGTGTACTCAGTAACCCCAGCACTAGGAGAAAGATGGGAGGATCATCAAGACCTGATTGCCAACTAGATTAGCCAAAAACACAGCAAGATCCAAGTTCAGTGACAAGCCCTGTCTCCAGAAAATAAAGTAGGGAGTGATAAAGGAAGAAACCTCTGCTTAGGTCCTGCTCTGGTCTCTGCATGTGCATTCATAGGCATATGTACACACACACACACACACACACACACACATGCACGCACACACACACACATAGACACATACACACATGCATTCATCACACACAAAGTTTTAAAAGAAGTCGTAGATCTAGTCACCCCTATGTCACTCATTAAGTATATAACATTTAGCAAAATTCGTCTGAGCTCAGGTTTTTATTTTTGTTTTTGATCATTTTATAAATAATTTACTTTAAATTTTTAACTGCATATTGTTCTACATATTAATTTGTATTCCTATGCCAAACTTTAAATATATTACTATTCCTAAGTAAGCAAGATCACAAAATGGAGTCCCAGAGAGAGCCTGTAGTATAGAATGATCAGTCCTTAACATTAAATGAGATTTTATTTAAGTCCTCCTCATCCTAAAAATAAGACCTTTAGAAGCAATGTGAATCTCAGTTGATTCGTGGTTTGTGTATACTGTCTTTGCTATATGAAAGTGTCGATCCAAGACTTTTTCCTGATCACATCAATGTATCAAGTAACAAGTGACAAACGAGGCTCTCAACACTTTGTGTTTGCAGCACTCTGTTACTGATGTGGCAAACAGTGGCCTCTGAGTCAAGTGTCGCACCTCAAGTGCTGAAGACAATCTTGCTGATAGTAAGAGAAAAGCCTGGGTTGATGGAGGAAGCCCTGGCAGACAGAACATGCTTCTCCCCTGATGCCTTCAACATGATGCCTGTGATGGTAAATGACGTATAAGTGTTTCTGTTCAGGGTTGTTTTCCTGATCATGAAACTCCTATCTGCTCAGACTCAGTCCTCCTCTTCGGCACAGCACTCCTCCCATGTATCCAACACATAATCAGTGTGTACCACACCTTGATCCTAGAGCATGCATTCTGCTAAGATGTGGAAATAAAGAACAAGCATGTATGTCCTATATCAAAAGAAATATAAAGTGATATATGTGAGGGGAAGAAGGTGGCAGGGAAGGCTTAAGGTAAGTTGGAGGAGGGCAGGCCTCAGTACTGAGCTGACATAAAGCCAGAATCCCAAGTCAGATCAGGGTGATCATTACATGCATCTTGGAAAGACAGAGCAAAGTCCCTGTCATGGTAGAAGTGTGGCTGGTATGTCATTGAATGAATCTGAGGGAACATCCCAACAGCAAAACCATAGATGATTCCAGAGAGACCACCACCAAGTAAGTCATATAAACTTCTGAAGTCAAGTGAAGGTCTAATTTCACTGTATTTATCATGTTTCTCCCATGGACCAACATCACCAGACCTAAAAGGACACTCAGGTCTCACAGAAATATAATAGGAAAAAAATTTCATTGTTTCATAAATGTGAGATGTTGGGATACGTGTTTGTAAGACAGCAAGTACTGCAGGGTTCAAGTGATTTGAGGATGACCTGGGGTACCTCTCCCTAAATATTTCACTTTCCTGGATTGTTTAAATGCAAAGAAGACTTGAATTATTAGTAAGACTATCCTCATGTCCACATGGGAGTAGGGGCATGGGATATATGCCCTCCTTGAGGGCTAACTTCTTTTCCATAAGTTTGACAGAAGGAAGAGAACCATTAATAGTGCCTTGGAAGCCCCTTACCAAAGAATGCTTGGCATGGTGCTTCACAGCTGACTTGGTGGGTGTTATTGAGTGAATGCACGTGCATTCCTAAGGAGGGTGGGGAAGGCTCGCAGCTCCTCCTGCCCTCTATATCACTGAGTAGTTTTGGAGGGAGACAAGTTGCCCTTTTAACTTGCTTTTCCTTCCTTCATAGGCATTGCAGGCCCTGTGCACATTTCTCCCTATGAGTTCTTATAGGGAAGTGTTGCCCCAGTGCTTCCCTGAGCTGCTCATGGCCCTCATGTTTCAACTCTTCTACTGCAGTCAGCTCAAATGCGACACACAGGAGAAGCCTCTGTAAGAGAGTCAGGCTGTTTATTTCAGGTTAAATCAGAGATAAGTATCCAGTGACTCTCTTGGGGATTTGTCACAAGGCTGTCTGAGGTGCTGCTCCCACTTATTTCATTTCCTCTTGTCTAACAGTAGAAAATCCAGAAAAATAACCTTCCTGAGTACTCAGCCATTAACTGGGACCTCTTCTCCATGCATGTGCAGTTAATAAAGAGTCACAAGTACAGAACACTGTTCATTCCTGCCTTGCCCACTGCCAGACAAACAGAGGAGGGAGCAGAAATGAGCATTAGATTCAAAGTTAGGCATGTTCAAGCTCTGCCATTAGCATGGTCTCTGATAACCTCTCAGAGCTACCGTACGTGCAAAACAGAGTAGTGTGTGCAAATGTGCATTGTAAACTAGAAAGCTGTTCTGTGGTAGGTGATATGATGAGTAGGTGGAAGATATAAGATCAGTCCTCTGTTGGCAGGGGAAAGGTTCCTAACTCTTTTCCCCAAGAGACTTTTGCTACCCTGTAGGGAAAGTCTCAATCCAATTGTCAGCTATTGCCTTGTCTGGTGTAGACGGCTAAGCCAAACAGAGCACAACTCCTCTCATTAAGATATTTAGTCCACTTTCTACCCTCTAAGTAATATCTACACCCAATCACCCCCAAGGAGAAGGGAATGTGTTCTATTTATCAAGAATATCCATCAAAATCGACAGGTCTAGCAGGTCATCACATCACTGGATAGGCTAATAGACTGCTATATGAGTAAACCTAGACTTTGTGTGCTACCATTTATTTTAACCTCCCTAGCCCACGAACTGTCAGAGAAGATTAAAAACCATTTAGTAACCTCCTTCCTCTGAAGCATTCCTCTCTTTTAACCTGTATCCTTCCCAAGATGAGATGGAAAGGCAGGTCATGTGTACTTAGTTCCATGTAGGACACTGTCCATGATGTTTGCTCTTTTTCTAGCCATAGCTATGTCCGAGATGCTTTGAAAATTCTGTTTATTTCTTCTGGACTACAAGAAGTGGATGCTTCTCTGGAGAAAAAGAATTTCTGGCTCCATATTTCTCAAGAAATGGATTACCAGTTTGGAATTCAGCTCATTGCTAAGTAAGAGGAGGTGGCTCTGGATGGAACTCATGGTCTTTGTCCCATCTTCTCCATCTTCCTTAAGATGTGCCATGTGGGAACAAAGCTGGTGTCTCCCCAGTTTCTAAATCTCTCCTGATATCCTACATTGCCATTTGGTTTCTGCTTCTTTGATTATTTGAAAAGCATTATTTTGGGGTAGTCTTCTCTTTCATTCCTTCTTACTTAATCATACATAAGTTACACACACACACACACACACACACACACACACACACTTTCCACAGAATAAGGTTCTCTTTTACATACAAGGAACTAAAGATAATGTCATGTTCCCCTGTGATGTTAGCTGATTCCTGTTCTGTAGACATCACACTTCCAAATGTCCTCTAGTTTTAAAGTAATCTAGTAAAGGTCTGTACTCAACAAGCCAAGCAAATGGATTTTGGAAATATGATGGAAGAGAACCTTTTCTTGCATTAGAAGTATTTGGGAGTTTTTGTTTGCTAGGTTGGTCTGGTTGAGTGGTTTATATTTAACTCTTCTGATTATAGGGATCAGATTTTCTGAGCCAAACTCAGGATACAGAGCCTTGGTTCCATGAAAGACAATTTGCAGCTGTGACAGAGAATATAGTCTGTATGATCCATGGGTTCTTGGTACTTCTAATAATGGCATTGTATTGGCACATGCATTTAAGGAGCATGCCTTTTTCAATAAAAATTATATTTATTTAGTTTTTTTAATTAGCAAAAATCTCAAGGGAAAAACTTTTCATATTATATAACTGATCATTCTCAAGCATAAAGCATTTGTTAATAAATATAAAACTAAATTTTATGATTTTGATTTGTTTTTCCCCAACTTTAACTATATGGATATTTATGGAAAGGTGAGCTCTTAAGAAAACCTCACAGCTGCATCAGCTTCTATAAGGGATATAAATTTCTATTATTGGAGATTCTGAAAAGCAGACCCCTAGCAACTTCAAAAACAGGTATTTTCACCAGGATAGGAACATGAGGAAAATGTAGCCAGAGTTCATTAAAATATGATCCAATCTGGGTTTAGGTCCTCTTCAGATGATCTAAATTCTCCATATTATTTGACAAGACCATCGTCTTTTTGGGAGTCCAGCATGTAGCCACTGCTGTCTTCCTAAGTAGTATCCTCCCAAGTTGCACCAAAACTGAGATTAATATGTCTTATTCTGTGTAGTACATTTGCACCATATAAATGGTCACTAGTAAAGCACCATTCTGTCCTCACTACTTGGATCTTTCTATTCAAAATATGATCCACAAATCAGCAATGAAATCACTGGAGAGGTAAAATTTCAGAATCTCATATTTGTAAGTTCCCTGTGTGATTTGAATGCACATTAAAGTTTCCCAGAAGACAGGCCTATAGTCTTGAAATGGAAACACTGTCATACCATCCCTGCACATCTTACTTCTAACAATCAGATTCAGAACTGTTTATAGAAACAACTTTGAGCCTGGTTATTGCTCAAATGTTTGTGGAAAATAGCCTAATGAATCAGAGTTCACCATTCTTTCTCTTGAGCAATCCATAGTCCCAGATTCTCTTCATGATGTCATCCAAAGGATGAACTTGATCCAAAGCCACAAAGGTCATCTGTAGCCTGCATGGCTATCTTGGATTGTGCTTTAGGCATTTATTTCTTCTCTCTTTGACTGATGGGAGCTTATGCAAAAATAAGGCTTCAGTCATGTGGAGAAGGATGAAGAGACAGGAAAGAGAGATAGCAATAGGGAAAGAATTGTTGCCAAGACCCAGGCTTGCATAATTCCCCAGAGTCTGCACAGAATTTGTGGTGGGACTGCAGTTTACCTTGTATTGGAAAAACTTTAAGAATGACTTTTTTTAATCTGGGAGGACAATAGTATGAGGGTTAGATTGCCTCCTTGTCATTGTCTGTACTTAATAAGCAAAATATATTTTCTTCTTTACTAATTCAGAGCCTCGTGCTTGTTTACAGAACTCTTAATGAATTCAACTTTCCACAGTTTCGAGAGACCTTACGTTATGTCTACAACATTGCACTGGGAGGTCCTAGATGGCCAGGAGACAGCATTGTAACAGTAATATTCTTCAGTGAAGTGAGTTTTAATAGTAAAGTGTGAATAGAATTTCCCCTCCAGTTTGTTACATAAACTTAAATCATGACTCCAGTTTCTCAGCTCTCTTTCTGAATATTTATTCTCCCCCAAATTTAAGAGAATAAAAGACATAAAAAAGAAAAAAAAAAGAAGTTAGGACAAGAAGCAGAGAGGTAGATTACATCTGGACATGGGAGGGTTGTCTCTGTAACTTACTCCAGGAATTGGCTCTTATCTTCTCGGGTTTGTAGATTTGCATACTCACCAATTACTTTTGAAGTGCTGGTCATATATCTCTGCACACTTGCTAAAGTGTATCAAGGGTAACTGGGTTTACTAAAGATAGTAGGTGACAGTTGAGAAACTAGACATTACATTAGATTCTCATAGGGATAAAGAATTAGCCAAATAACTGGATAAAATGAAAACCATGTTAAAATGTGAAACCATATTATTTAGCTTTTACTATGACTGTTATACCATATATTGTAATGTCAGAGTGAAATCAAACAAATAGAGTCCATTTATTTACAAAAGTCCATAGCCTGAAATGATGAGTCCTTCAAATATCTCCCTGAAACTAGTATTGTAATAGGCAAGGATTATTACCTAAGTAGTGATGCTCAACATTTTCAAAATATTGAGATAATTTACATTATAGCAAAATAATTAATAAACTGTAGAAAAGACCATTTTCAAATGAGCTTAAACCATTTGTATCTCTTTTATTTTGTGACTCACTTTTTATTGTATTGTCAATTATGTATTAAACATTACACCTAAGCACAACATAAAATTTCCTACAAAATGATAGATTTGAGATAAATGTAAAAGTTATATAAGATTTGCTTTAGCATCATTAGTATGGAATATGCAACTTAATGAACCTATTTGCCCCTCTCATCATGAATATCAATGCTCTTTGCTGGCATGTCTGTCCTTCCAAACAGTCAGCAATGACCACATTCTTCCTAATCTTTCAAGAGATTTTGACATGAAAGGAGCCTGGTTTTGTCTGATTCTTTCTCTTCATCTATTGAAATGATCACTTATCCCATCATTGTATTAATTTGATATGTCACATTTTAAAATTTGCATACATGGCACCCTTGTCTGCCAGGGATAAATCCCACTCAGTCACACTAGATGAGCTTTTAGTTTAGTGTTCCACATTTTCTTTATTGATCTTTCTCTGGGCACAGGTTGATTCAATACCTTGTAATTGTGAAAAATACAATTTCTCTTTAAAATCCCAAATAAATTTGCTTGGACTCTATATTTGTGTTATCATTGGATACTATGCGATTACTTTCTTAACTTTTTAAGGAATCTTTTTACTATTTCGCTAATGTCTGAACTAGTTATGTTTCAACCAGCAGTGTACAAATTTCCTTTCTCCACATCCTTACCAACATATATCTCTTCTCTTTTTCATGTTTCTTGCTCGCTCACTTGCTCACTCGCTCTTGGCTCTCACTCTTGCTCTTGTTCTTTCTCTCTCTCCTCCCCTCTCTCTTTTACACACATGTACTTAATTATTTTTAAAAAGGAAACTTAACATCTGACATTAATGCAGAAGAGGAGAATAATTTATATTAAATTATTACATTTTCAGTTTTCTCCAACAGTGGAGAAATCTTATCAAAACAAGAGCAGAACTCAGCATCCATTTCTTATTCTGATTGCTGTCTCTCCCTTTCACAGACACAGAAATATATTTAGAGATACATGTAGTCACAGTTTTAATGTGTTTTACTAAAATGTCTTGAGTTTTATTATAGACAGATTGTGTCATTTGGCCTGACTCCATTCATTAATTTATTAACTGCTTTTTCTTAAGCTTCTGAACAACTTCAAGAAGCCATTACCAGAAGAAGCTTTGGACCTCTTTAGAAAATGGATGAATGACTCTAATCCTTCAGTTGCAAAACTGAGCCTTCAGAAAATTGCCAGCATGGTACCAGTTTTCAATGAAGTACGTGTGTAGGTGTGATGTGTATGTGCCAGTATTATGAGAGGTATAATCTGTTACTTTGATATTGCTCAATGCTCTTACACTAAAACCTTGGTATCCAAACTGCTAAAACTATCAAATTCTAAAACTGAAGTGAATAGACAAGATATAAATCAGCTTAGTGGTTATATCCCCTTATTCATAATTTTTTTCCAAAAATCATTTATTTTGCTGAGAATTTATTTATCATTATTTCCCAGAGTGAATTCTCTTCTTGTAGTTTAAACCATTGTCATGCTGTTTCCTCTCCATGCTGTGTTCTCATTGATTCCTCTCTTGGGGTACCCACTGGAGCCCACTGGAGTTCCTCCCTCCATTTAAAACAGTTTCCTCCTTCACCTACACATGTTTACATTTTTTCCCTTTTTGGATGATCATCTCGGCTTGGATTACACTAAATATTCTGATCTCTAGTAGACTAGCTCTCTAAAAGCCATCTCAACTGGCAGTTTATTCTCTATAGGATGCTAAAAGTGTGGTCCTTGAGCCACCAGCATCAGAATCACCTGGAAACTTGTTAAAAATGCAAATTGTTAGGCCCTACTCCAGGCCCTGCAGAATCTGAATTTCTGTATTGGTGCCTAAGGTCTTAAATCCTTAGCTTAAAGTGAGAATCACTGTCCTGCAGTTTCCTCACAAATGTATATGAATACATATTAACATATAGGTCGTTTAAATTTAAACGTGCTGCCTATGTTTTGTATTTCCAAATTCCAAAGTATTTTGCATAATGCTGAGACTGTAGATGTACAACAAATCATTTGTCGATTCAATAATGAATCTAAGCATAAATCTTTGTTTATCTATTGGGCATAATTTCTAAAAACTTGAAGCCAGTCTGTGAATGCCCACTTTTGCATTTGGAATTGTATAAGCCATGATCCATCTGCTTTAAATAAAACATACAAGTCAATAAGGGTGGGTTTTTTGTTGTTGTTGTTTGTTTGTTTTTTTGGCAGCATACATTATTTTAGTAGGCAGAAAGTTTTTCATTGCTTTTTCCAAAATTCTTCTCCATGTCATTCACAACTGAAAGGGAGAATCTGGGTCAAGGCTAGTGTGGAGAGAAATGGAGAAGTGGTATTTCACTGCTGTAAAACAGACTCAGCTTGCACAAAAGTATCTTGGGCTCTGAAATAGCCCTTAATTCTATGTTGTTTTCTCCTTAACATTACTTTGGTAAATAATGCTTTTTCATTCTCTTTCTTTTCTTTTCTCCCTATCTTTCTTTTATAATTACATCTACTTTACAAAACTTTTAACAATTTTAAAAGCACACTTGTGAGCCAGCAATGCCAAATGCAGAAGTATGTATACCTAATACCAGCTCAAGTCTCCTTCTAGTTCCTAAGTTCTTCCATTTCCCCCTTTATATGTAGATGGAAAACTGCAGCTTATTGTTGCCTGTCCTTCGTGCTTTCTCTTCCAAAGAGCATACTGTTATAATTCAGGCCATGCTCACCCTCCGAAATATTTTGAGCAAACTGGACAAGCCTGTCTACTCTAGAGTGTGTACCAGAATTGCCTCCTGCTACGGTCCTCTGATGCGTCATGTGAGTGACACAGCTAGATGTGCAGTACCATTAGATTTGGGGGTTCAGTTGAAGTCCCAGTTGGCAAATGATCTTCTATCCTAGAATGAGTCAACACAAGACAGCCATTTTTCTGTATAGCCATCATTTTTTTTTCTGAAGACAATAATATTTACCACTTCCTTTAAAAGAAACTGTAGTATAAGAATCTGGAAAAGTATGTCCACAAGAAAAGAGAATCAGGGCTGGAGAGATGGCTCAGTGGTTAAGAGCACTGACTCTTGCAGAGGACACAGGTTCAAATCCCAGCACCCACATGGTGGCTAAGAACCATCCATAACTCCAGTTCCAGAGGATCCAGCACCCTCTTCTGACCTCCAAGAGCATTGCACAACATGGGTGCACTTATATATGTGCAGGCAACACACTCATACACATAAAATAAAAATAAATAAAATTTTAAAAAAGAAAGGAGAATCAAAGAATCATTTCTGTCCTTTAGCTCAGTAGATATATTGGGTGACACTGTACCTAGAATGGGTAGGTATAAATCCCTCTTCGCCTCTGACTATCATGTCCAGCAAGAGATTTCTTCAGTTTCTTGGTAGAGAATCAAAGAATCATTTCTGTTCTTTAGCTCAGTGGATATATTGGTTGACACTGTACCTAGAATGGGTAGGTATAAATCGCTCTTCGCCTCTGACTATCATGTCCAGCAAGAGATTTCTTCAGTTTCTTGGTAAATCAGTTTCCCCATCCATAAAACAGACATAGCAGTATGTTTATTACGGCATTAAAGGTTGGTAGAATCACCTTCTCCAAGGGTCAGAGAACATCACAACAGAGGGAATGGAAAGAATGGAAAAGCCAGAGGTTGGAGAAGCTGCTGAAGGATGTCTTTCTGGGCATGACATGGCCATTGTACTCATGAACTCAGTGCAACTGTGGATATACACATAAGACCTACACAGGACTGACCTCGTCAACATTTCATCATGGAAAGAGGAAGGGCTCATGAAGCTCTGCCC